TAAGAGTTGTATGAGTCCCTAATAAAATGATTAAAAAAAAAAATATATATATATATATATACAGAAATTCCATATGCTCCTTACATATTTTTACATCCTGTAAAACTACAGTATCAATACTGCCAGAGTATTGTCTTGACGCAGTCAGATTCAGAAGAATTGTATCACTGCAGGAATCCGTCATGCTGTCCCGTTATACCTACACCTACCTCTTCCCCAGACCCTCTTCTTAACTCCTGGCACTTACCAATCTGTTCTCCATCTCTATAGTGTTGCCATGAACCCTTCATAATTTATAAATGATTATTATCTTACACTGTCCGACATCTCCCTTCACCCACTTTTCTGTTGTCCATCCCCAGGGAGGAGGTTATATGTGGATCCTTGTAACCAGTTCCACCTCACCACACTGTACCCTCCTCCCCTCAAATTTTGGAGATTCTTTGGGATTTTCTATGTAAACAATCATGTCATCTGCAAGTAGGGAAAATTTGAATTTTTTCCTTTCCCTTTTTTGTTGCTTTATAGTATTTGCTAGAAATTTCAGCACTATCTTGAATAAGAGTGGTAAGAGTACATAGTTTTACCTTGTTCTTGATCCTAGAGGAAAACATTTAGACTAAAGATATCCTATACTCTTTATCATGTTGTGGAAATTCACCTCTGACCCTATTTTTCTGAGAGTTCTTACCATATATGGTATTGAGTTTTGTCAAATTCTTTTTCTGCATCAATAAACATGATGTGATTTTTTTTCTCATTTAACCTATTAATACAATGTTTACACTGAGTGTTTAATACCATTGAACACGTGTCATTAATGATACGTACAGGTTTGTTGCTGTCATTTGCTGTTTTGTGTTTGTATTTTTATTTTATTTTTTTCTTCCTCTACTTGTGTTGTTTGATGGGCAGTTTACATTGTATTTATTTCTGGGTGTGACTGACCTCTGTGTCGCTTTCAGGTTTGCCTGCTGCTGCTGTAGCTTATCTGTTCAAAGTGTTCCAGATAATGGTTTTTGGTTTCCAGACAATGTTTTTTGCAATGCTGATCTTGATTTTACAAACTCCTTTACTTTTCCCTTGTCTGGAAATACATTTATTTCTTCCTTGAAATTGAGTGATGAATCTTGTAGGATATAAAATTCTTGGTTGGCAACTGTGTTAGACAGGGTTCTCTAGAGAGATAAAACCAG